CGCCGCCACGGCTGAAACCCTGTCTCCCCTCCAGCGATCATGTAAGCATGCGCCTGTAGGGTATAACTAGACCACAAAATTACCACGTGACACATGTGATAAGCAATCTATTATGTATTTATGAAAAAACTAGACCACAAAATTAGCCCTTCCTACATGCTTCCTAGGCTCGCAGCCCTGATTCCCGTCTACACGTCCACATGTTTCCAGCGACCACAATATTAACCCTTCCTATTGCCTGCCACGCCCTAGTTCATGTGATTACTCTCTCCCTTCGTCTTGGCCCAGTCAGATTGAGAACAAAAGAACTATGTCGCGAAGAGAGAGCACAGAAAGGCCTGAAGAGACCAAGAACGGCGCTAAACGTCGCTGCTGCTGAGACCCAAATGGACAAAGGGTTTTCACCAAGGAAAATACTTGGCAGGAGTTAAACAGGTTTGCTCAAACTTAATTAGCACTACACTTTTTCGTACTGGCCCTCTCAGACTGAGATTCTAATAAAGTCAACCAAGATCAGCTTATGTTCATTAATACCCTATGAGACAACATGTGTACCAATAACCCACTTCAGACTGAGAATAAACTATTAGCTGCAACAGTTTCAGCTACATCTAGATACATCCATTTCTGCGACAAGTAATTCCGAACGGAGGGAGTATCTGTGAGCGTATATGGTTTATACATTCTTCTCAGGCCCTTCCGCCTCATATGTTTCATTGGCCAGCTCAACCAATGATTCCAGTAGTTCTTTTTTTGAGGTCTTAATAACTTCATGAGCTTCGACCATATCTTTGTAGACTCTCAAGCAAGAATCTTTATTCATATGAACGTCATATATATATGCATGAGCCACCAACCTTGACACATCATCTTCTGAAACCTGAAAGAAGCATGATTTGGAGTGAGTGACAAGTTTGCTGAAAATGGGATAGCATGCAGCTGGGCACACTTCACAAAATAGTATGTACTGTTTTACCTCACAGGAGTCGCCAAATTCAGGCCACCATATCATCTTCAGAGCTGTTGCAATTTTCAGTAACGTCCAACCCTTGCAGTTGATGCCAGAAACATCCTTAATGAGGTCACCTGCACAGCGCAAGGCTCCAGAATATTTCTTCTCAACAGAATCACACTGAAACAATGCACAAGCTGTCGCAACAATTTGCTCATTGACCTGGATACAAAGAAGATTGCTTCATCACTAAAGCAAGGATGCAAAGCATATAATTTTTTTCTGTAGAAGCTGCATCCGAAACTTTGGTCCATGAAGATGAAGTAATGTCAGCACACAAGCTATCATACAGTGCAACACCAAATGACAGGGAACTATGAAGCAAAAAAAAACATGGCAACTAGTTAACTCACCATATCTGTTTTGACATCACAGTCATAATGTTGCAATACATAGTGCAGTCCTAGACTCATCGGGAGACAGTCCGCTTCTGTCAGTTGCGATTTTTCTTGAGGCAGCAAACTTGGCATGCAATGCTGTATGCCCCACATTACCTACATCACAGCTGTATTATACAGGCAGTCTATATTCTGGAAGAAGTCACAGCAAAAATGGCAATCAAAGTTGTTCAAATATATAGATAAACCAGGAGCTTATACTCACCAATCTCTCTTCAATAATTCTTTTGTATTCAAGCTTTCCAACAGCAATTTTCTGCTCAGGGAAGCGGCAGTTCATGATCATCTCAGTAAGCCTTTTGCTGACACCAGTACTTTTATTAATGGCCTTGGACTTGTCCTTAAAAGCTCGAAACTCTTCCAGCAAAACAGCCTAATGAAGAAATAACAAGGATGAACATGCTCACGTGCAAAAAGAAACAATTAATCAAGTATCATGTCATGTCTCTCAATTAGGAGAGGGAGCTGACCGGCGAAAAAGGGTTCCCCCGCTTTATATATAAAGCAACCATCAGCACAACATTCGAGCAAGAAGATACAAACGCACTCCACCACCGCACTCAACGCACACACTGATACACCCAAGGCAAGATACAAATGTGTCGTGCACCGAAAACACCACCCCAACGACGACCAAGCACCCTAAAGATAAGCAAAGAAGAACCGCTTGGGCCGACGGTGACCACCTCCAAGAAGAGATCCACCAAGGAGCGGTGAGGCGGACACGGCCGGAGCGAGGACTCTAAGACGATGCCTTCAGAAGGGATACGACCACAGGTAGCCATCACCGTCAGATCCCGAAGATCAAGTTTTCACCTGGAGTCACACAAATGAAGTGGGAGCACCACGACAGAGCCTGCAAGGAGGATAACGATGTCCACGGACGCCGCCTCCGTCGGCAGTACTGGGACTGGGCAAGTGGTGAACCCCGGTGCTCCTACCCCTCCGTTGCAACCCCGCTCCGCCAACAACCCGCATCCATGGCGACCAAGCGAACATGGCTGCCCGCCCGCACCCGAGCCGCGCGGTCAGCCCACGACCAACGCGCCTCCCACCGCCAGAGCCACCGCCCTACATACAGACCGCCCCAAGAACCTCCAAAGGCCGTGACTTTGAACAAATCTGCACCCCAACCACCTCCGGGACTGCCAGCAAACCACCCGCCTCGAGCAACGCCGAAATGGAGAACAACGAAACGAGGATGGGGAAGGGGGGAGGAGCGGCCCACAACCACGACCGGCAATAACTTCCTGTGTCAACAACGGGAAGCTCAACCGGAGCCCCTGTCCCTCCAACCGGCCTCCTCACCCCTCCCCCGAACAACATGGTTCGCCCAACCCTGCCGCTGTTCCGGACCCGCACAAGAACACTGGCATCAGCCCATCGCTAGAGAGGAGGAAGCAGAGCCCTGGCCGCCGCTGCCATGGAGGCCACCAGTGGGGTCTCCCGCACCGTGCGTCGCCGACCAGCCGCAAGGGACCCACCCGCGACTTCAGAAGCGGATCTGGGCGGACCGCCGTGACGCAGCCTCCAGCCCGCACCGCACCTCCGCGCCGCCCGTCGCATCACCGGCCCACTCCGGAGTGCCTGCGAGCTGCCGAGCCCAGCACCAAGCGCTGCATCCCTCGCGCGCAGAGATGAGGAGGTAATGAGATGTAATTTGGCATCAGACCACAGTGCTGCTCTTCAATAGTAGCAGCAAATCAAGTAACTGATTCGTTAGAAATCTCGTTGCACCCATGACGGCCATTTAGCAAAAGTAGTTTTTTGGGCGTGTGCACAATAGCGTCCAGAGTACATGCTCTAGGTTTATGGAGGAAGTTGTGTTAGCCTCTCAATTATTTTATAAGAGGAAATGAACAACATGTTTACGTTCCACCACCCTAGGCACAAAATAAAATAAATAAATAATGCTGCAATCATGAATGGTGCAAGATAACTAGTAGGATTTGGCGGCAAACAACAAAAGAAAATAACAACCAGGAGCAGGGAATCGAAGGAAAGATGTGGGCACTAACACGTCTTGCCTTCCGTCCATCAGTGAAGCTAAGCCATACTTCTTGGAGGAGACAAGGATAATAAAACAGAAAATTAGGTAAATGGCATGGACAACAAGAGAAAGCAAGCAAGCAAGCAAGCTCATCATCAGTAACCAAGGGAGGAAGAACATATAGTACACCTTCACAGCATTTGGTCGGCTAATAAGTAACCCACAAAAAAGTGAAAATTGCGAAGCCTGAGGGCGTCTCAAACAGAATCAGCATCAATCCACTATCCCCACGGATGGCAGCTGCAGAAAAAGAAACAAAGCATACTTAAACAAGCATGATTACCAAGAAAAGAAGTACAATAAATAATTCAAATATCAACATGATGCCAGCCCTTGCCAAAGGGCCTCTTATACATGGCTACTGAGAATACCGAGTTCAACCACCCCTGGCGTGACCCACTGGATTGGCGGCCCATCATACCCAAAATATGCCCGTTTTACAGGTTATCATCCACCTTGTGCTTCTGTGGGAGCGGGGCAACCCCGTCCATTAACGTTGTCGCTCCTCTCCTCCCCTCATCCCATCCCATGCTTCTGCATGTCTGCTGGCTGTGCTCTCCTCCACTCGGAGGCTCCGGCAGGACCTTGACCACTAGATATTGTCCAAATGTTCAAACCAAGTGCACTCGAAGGTTCCATCCCATTCTCTAGAACGTTCCAGCCATTGAAAGTAATTGTTCCCACCAGTTGAAATAAACTTTCCATGGGCGCAGTGAGAGCAAGAGTTCCAGTGGGAGTCCAAGAGATGTGGGCAGTGGCCAGGATCGTGCAGCCACTGCTGGGCAAATGTGGTGCCATTTTACGCGTGTCTGACATGACAGGTTGGTACAGTTTTATCTCTTGCAGGATTTGGACATGTTTTACTCTAACAAATGATTAAAAGAATCATTGGTTTCTTGCATAAAGAACGAGATTTTCAGGTTGGGTTCCAATGTCACACTCTGGACCTTTGCCCAAGAGCTAATGATTCAGAGAAATGGTGGAGATGGTTAGGTAGGTCTTATGGAAACTAATCTCGCCACTATAGCGAAAATTGGACCTGCAAATCTGTGAATATCTTATTGCATTTTTCCGTTGCATTGTTTGCCTCTTATTATTTCAATTCAGCTGTTAACCATTTTGGATAAATGCTTCATGCGATGTTTTGACTTGAACATAAGTTGGATAGGCAGGAGAAAGGTTTGCCACATTGTGTACATGTCTCAAGCAGGACACCGCCAGGCCAATTATGTGACAACACAGCTGTACAAGTAAGTCGAGAAAGTTACTCTGTTCATTTGGTACTGCATATTTACGTGCCACTGCAGGGTAATTGGCCAGCTGCAAATGTCAAATTGCTGTTACTGAAGGTAATATGGCCTTTTGGACATGTGCGTGAGAAGGATAGATAAACTGATGACAAAATGTTGGAGTGCCGATGCTGGAGCCCAACGTGATACGACCATAAAGGACCAGTGGTGCACCATGGAGCAAGTGAGTGAAAGCAAAGGAGAGCACGAAGGGGAAAATAGCAGAGTGAGAGGCGGTGGGCGAAACGACGAATCTCAACAGCATGGGAGAGATGTGCCGGTGTGTTCAGATTCTTTTCTCTTTAACTAGAGGCACTTCGGCCCAAAAACGGCATTCCAACAGGTGATGTATATATATTTCCGTGATGTAAATTTATTTAGGGAAGATGAAAAAACGCCTCTCACTGCTTCGTATTAGCAGCGCCGCAACGACTGTCACAAAATCACCATGCCCATGCGCGCACCCTCAACCACCTGCAGAAACTTCACCCGCCCGCAGCCCGCGTTGTCGCCCGTTGCCGTCACCGTCGATTTCATGCTGCAATTGCCACCCGGCCGGCCGCCACTAGCCATCCCGCCGCCGATTTGCACTCCGCTAGCCAAAAAATTTCACCTACCCACCACATCCATGCAGCCACCCGAATCCGGCCTCCCCATTGCCCAATCAACGGCTCACCTCCCCAATCTATCGACTCCAGCGGCCGCCGCTTGGGTTCGGTTTGCCGCCCTGTTCGGTTAGCGGCTTTGGGCTGACAAAATTGCATCGAGGATATGGAACCATGTTGCCGCCCTGCCGCAAGTGCGACCCCATACCATGGTGTTCGACTAAGGGAATTGGGGCACTACGTCGCCGAAATCACTTGCAAGTGCCGGCGTAGGTGGCTTGGCACCTTCGAGGCGTGCAAGCTCGCCGCGTGTGCACTGTACGATGAGGTGGGATGGAGGTTTGGCCATAACCGGGCCGAGCTGAACTTTCCCGTCGTGGCCTAAGCCGAGGAGGCGCTGTTCCTCGCCCCTATGATTTGCATTGTCTCCTGCAAGGAAGAGGAAGCACACCGCCATGCCGATGTGCAACGAAGTGCCGAAGAGAGGGGTAGGGTTTACGTGGAGAAGTTTGCCAAGGCCAATCCGCACCTCGTCGAGGCAGACCTTCGATTCGTCGCCGAGAAGGAGAAGGCGAAGCGGATGGAGGAAGAGGAGATGGATCACGAAACCTCCTGTTTAATTATGTTGTTTAAAATGTTTAATGTGGAATAGAGTTTGAAATTTCAGAATGTGGAATGAATCATGTTCAAATGATCATGTTTAGGGCACCACTTTTACATCGCCTATTTTCTCTCTCCTGCCCCACATGGGTTTTACATCATCAAAAATTTCATCACCGGTTGAAGATAGCTCTTGAGCAAGTGGGTCCTCAGCCGATTAGCAAGCGCATGCACCAAGGCAGGCACTCCGCCGCATCAAGTTAGTTAGTGGTAAACTGAAGAGGGGTATACAGTATATACTTTTTGCTAAAATTTTGGACTTGGACTGGCTACGATCCAAACAGTAATGGCTTGCCGAAATTTTGATCATATCCATGCATGCATCGGTGATGCCAACATTTTGATATGGCTAGTTGAGACTCCCTCTCCAATCACCAAGCCCAAGAAACCTACCAGGTGCCCGGATCTGTTGGTTCGGACCCAAACACGCGCGCCCCACGGCAGGTATGTGCTGCTAAAAATCTAGGGTTCCTTCGCATGCTGTCCAACTAGCGACTAAAAGTTTTCCCTGCCGAGTAGGTGAGACTGGGAGGCAGGATGACAGCGGGCGAGTGGCTCACCTGGACAGGCCGGGAATCTCGACGGAGGAGAGCGCCCGCGTCGCCTCTTCAACGCCGGAGTAGAGGATGTTGACCCGCATCGCCGCCGGAGGAGGAGAGGATATCGAGGAGGAGCGAGACCG